CTTAAGTACCTTTGCGCGCAACTTTTGTACCACCAGGCACCCATCCATTGATCGTCGGATTGTCGTTATTATACTCTGTACATGAAATGTACATGAGTATATTAGGTTTGCGCGAGCTGAAAAATGTATCAGGCAGAAGGAGGCGTGGCCGACCCCACAAAGTATATATATTCTTGATCGATTTAGCCCTGTCTGTCTGTCTGTCCGTCTGTCCGTCCGTCCGTCCGTATGATCACCTAGATCTCAGAGACTATAAGAGCTAGAGACACGAAATTTTGCACAAAGATGCCCTATGTGTGTTCGCTATACAAGTTTGTTTTATTTTATTTTTTAATTTCCTTCCCACTTCCCCCCTATGGGGGTTTTTCCGTAACGCCGTTCGTATAATCGCCTATATCTCAGAGACTATAAAAGCTAGAGACCCCAAATGTTAGTCCCAGATGCCTTATGTGAATACAAAGAAAATGTATATTTTGGAATTTCCCTCCCTACCCCCTCTACCCCGCAAATCGCGATTTTATTTAACTCCCGTAATTCTTGGAATTCCGAACTAAAATTTTGTAAATACCCCCAGTTAGTAATTATGTGTCCGTGCGCCAAGTTTCATCATGATAGCAAGAAGTTATAGCCATAAATATATTTGCTACTGTAGCGCTGCTCAAGCGCTGCCCGCGGCTGTTGTTGATGTTGCTGTTTGGTTGACTGCTAACATGTTTACTCAGACACTAATATACGAGCATATAAATACATACACTCACATAGACGCAATTGCTCTGTATATGTGCAATTATACACCCTTTACGTGAGTTGGAATACCAAAAGAGGTAAAATCGATCAAATTTTGTTTTTTATTCTCTTACTTTTTTAATTTCTATAATTATTCTAAACATATGTACAGAGTATTTCAAAGTCGGGACATCCGACTTTAGCTTTTTTACTTGTTTTTATCATATGTTCTGAATTTTGCATTCAGTTAGTAGCGCGTTGAGTCCCCTGCAGTACCGGAATAAGTGCCCAACTTCTTTAAAGCATATGCTTCAACCGCATCCCCAATCAAGAATTCGTCATACCGCGCATATCTGGCATCATCATCGAAGTCCTCCAGATGTATATACAACTCATGGGGCTGGGCTGATACTACTGCGTGCAACTTGTCCAATCCAATAAATAACTCGCTCGATAGATTCCAAAGCCCATCTTATACTCTGACCAGTTGAGAAAGAAGTTCAAGTGCCCCATGAACCGTTTCCAGCCAGGTCCAGCTAATTTTGTATCACACATAACTTCAAAAGGACTCATCCCAGGCAGTTGTATTGTATGAATGCCATGGAAATTAACGCCACAGGGACATTGGGTTGGATAGTTTCTCCTTTCAAGAGCAATATTATGTTTAAGCACAGTGGAACGGAATAATAGAGCACGCATACTTTTTAGTTGTGTGCGGCAAGTCGAGCTCAGCTGACTAAAAACATTTATCCATTTATTGTCATCTTAAAGTATCTCAATAATTATTTAAACACACCATGATTCAGCGTTGAAAATAAAGCAAGAGAGTGCGAACAAAATTATAAATGTTGCCATACTCAGACTTTATTTATGACTGCCGCAAACAAATGAAGTCCACAATTTAAAATACTTATACGTATTTTATTTCTGAATGCTGTGCGGCTCGGGAATTTTGTTGTTTGCCGCGTTTTTTGCTGATAAGTTCAAAGTTGCGAGTAGTTTTGTCGCCATCACATACATATGTATATGAACATACAGCTCTGCTTGCTGATAAGAAATTGCCTCTTCATTTAAATAAATCGCAGTCTACGTATTCAATGAGTAATACTACTAGTCTAAAGAAATGACCACTTAAATGAAGCCTGTAAAAAGTGTATGCCCTCAAAAAATACATCTTTTTCTATCCATATAAGAAATTAGAAATTTTAAATAGTTAAGATATTTGATAATAGCTGTAGCAATTTTTTTAAATATGCTTCTGGTTATGTTGGGTTAGTGTGCTGGATTGCTATTGGCAGCCTCATAACATGGCCGGATATTGCCGGGCATTGAGGATCAATTTGGATAATGACTTAATAATCTCCTCAGCACGAGGTTTGACCTTGGAGATGTCCTAGAGGATGTGCAGGAGGAATTTAGTGAGTTTTTTTTTTTTGGCTCTCTGGGCAATCCTGCAGCTGTCAGTGCTTTTTTCCAGTACTTTCCAGCTTTTGTCTACACTTTATGCTCCCAGTTGTTGTAGAGCGCTTTTAGGGAAGCACCAAAGATATACTGTTCGTGCCAGAGTGCCCGCCATTTAGATTTTCCGGTCGCCATGACATTTTCTGATGAACGCCTGCAACCATTTTATAGCTGCCTGGCTGTCCACAAATATGTTCAAGCGCTCCTCTGTAATCGCAAGTCTTAGAGCCTCTTCCGCTACCTCTCTTAGTCAATTGTTAGGCACTCTTTTTAATCATTTTTTCATATAAACATAAAGCCAGAGATAAGCTTCTGAATCAGCTGCCTGGTCCAACTAAATAACTGAATACAAATTTTACCATATGTGAAGATTTCTTATCTCCCCACACATACAAGTACTTACTCGTACACATTTCTGACGAAGCTTATTAAAATGCGTTTTGCATCTTATCTATTCATTCTTGGCACATTTGAAATAAGATTCGTAACATCTATTTTAAAAATTGAACAAAGTAAGAATTGCAGTTGCAATTCGCTATTTGGTGCTGCCAATGCTTCGAAATGCAGTCCGCGCACAAAAAGAGAACATCATGCAGTAAATTACAACGAAATGATGCGCAAAATCGTTCAATGGAAATGATAAATAAATACTTACATCTATACTATGTAAGTAAGTATGTATGTAAATGTATGTAGAAAGGCAACTGTAAACTAGCAAACATTTTCGTATGCCAAGCAGACGTGCTAGCAGCTGTATGGAAAAACGAGGCTGGCAAATCTAGGGGGCGGGGCAACAATACGCGCGGGTCATATATATACACATACACACACACTTACACACACACACACTGGCTGGCAACAAAAGAAATCGCACATTTCAGCGTTTTGAATTTGTAGAAGGATATTTTTCACATTATAATAAGAAATGAGGCCGAAGACGCGCGGCGCATGTTTTGGCATAAGGAGAAGCCACAAATGGGAGGTGAGGGGCGGCAGCCACTTTAAAATGCAGAACAGCTGAGAAATCATATAAACACAAATAATAAAATCGACAATTTGGCAAAAGGCGCACGCACACATGTATGCCAGCATGTCCATATATGCCCTATCTATGTAAATATCACACACACATACATACATATATAAATATGTACCATTATAGACGAGTGTGTGTGTGTAACCGCAAATATACTGGCAATAGAACGTGCAGAGTTTTCATAAAAAGGCAACAAAAAAACGGGGAAAAAAAAATCAAATTCTGCAAGGAAAAGGGGTTAATTTTCGCAACAATACACACATACTTTCAAGGATATACTAAGCAGCGCACATTTTTATTTTCTTTGAGACTTGAGGACGCCGCTGGCATGACCTAAGCACAGAAACTTACACACAAACTTAACTTAGTAATAGTAATTCTGCATATGTACATATGAAGACAGTAAAGCCAACTACATACAATAGTAAAAATTGTAATAGGCCTTTCAGTACGGAGAACGAGAATAAGAGAGCTGTAAAAGTTCCAATTTATAGCCAACAAGAGTCACGAACATCAAATACGAGTCTCTCTTATATAATAGACTGTTCGAAGTTGCAACTTAGCCGCACATTTCACATTTATGTCAGCATCTATGAGTAATGCCCACATCAGCTTAAATGTCTTATATTTCTTCCTTTTTTACAGCCTTGAATTGCACTGCCCATATGCCTTAAGCAATATTTCATATACCTTCTGTATTTACTGGAAATTATTAGTAGGTACAAAGGCTATAGTTTTCACTATGCAGACGGTTTAAGAACATTACATGCCAGATTATTTGCGTTAACAGCCGAAAACTTGAGGCCTCTAGTTGTGCTGCTACAAAATTATTCTTGAAGCTATTACAACACTATTTAATACTAAAGAAAAATAGACTTAGGAAATATCTTATATGTTTCGACTCTATATTATTATAGAATAATTATTTAAACAAGAATGGCTACGAATCTGGCAGTAGATCACAGCCCATTTTTTTCATACCCAAAAATAATTTAACATTTATTTCTACGACAGTCAAGCATTTGAGGAAACAAACTAGCGACAAATAACCAAATATAGATTCAACCTGACCAATTTATCCAATTTATACAGGGAATGCAATTATTTTCCATATGAGCAAAAAAATTTCAACTTCTTAACATTTTGATGACTGAACTGCCCCAAATTTTATTTATTCGATTAGAAATAGTCCCCTTTGGACTCCATACAGTGATTTGAATGGTCTAAAAGCATATCGAACAATTGCTATATCTCGTTGGCCGGATGCTCAGTACACATTTTTTACGACTCCTCAGTGCACATAACGCTCTGCTTCTTCTGACGATGATTTACTCCAACTGTTATCAAAACTATTCACAATTTACAATTATTGGACTTCTTCCCGCCCAGTTTGGAATCAGGTATTGTTAAGTAAATTAAAAATAATGTATTAAAACATATGTGTTATTTCAGATAAGTTTTATAAGCGTTCTGGCCTAAAATTTGTTTTGTTTATTGTCTTTTAAATTAATTATTTCAAAATATTGCAAACACTTTATAGATTTACAAAAAAAACGTTTTAAATTTTAATTGTAAATATTTATTATTACTTTTCTATTTCTGTTCGATGTTTTCTTTCCCATCAAACAGACTCTGTGTAACATTGACTTCGAAATATTAACTTAACCTCCCATCCCACTGTCTACCGTAGTTGATCCGATTCGTAACAGACGGCAGCATTCCTCTATAATATCTTAAACCGTCCAGTTTGTTTCAATCTTTGGCAATTCTCTCCGAAATGCTGACAAAGCCAGCACACTTTCTAACCTTACTTCCACTACTGGGGAGCCTCTTTGGTGTTGTTTCTGGCGTAGCTGAACAATTGCAGCCCCGCGTATATGGTGGAGAACTGACCACAAACAGACAAATGGGCGGCTTCATGGTGCAGATAATATTCGATAACGAACTCATTTGTACAGGCAGTGTGATCAGCCAATGGCACATTGTGACCGCGGCCCACTGTTTTGAGGATCTGGATGTGGAAAAAATTTTCATAAACGCTGGCGACTCAACCAAAAAGGTCGAAACTTTCGGTTTATCGAAAATTGGCATTGAAAAACTATGGATACATCCGACCTACAATAAGCTAAAATTTATTGGAGACATTGCTGGTATTCAAACGAATCGGGCGTTGAAGGGCGACGAAATAGGCATCCTGCCGTTCTGCAAGAAGCCTTTACGTGCCGGAGATGTCGTGACTGTAGCCGGCTTTGGACGCCATAAGGACCCCGGCAATTTTAGGAAAAATTTTACTTCAGCACAGCTGCGCTACATAAAAGTGCCAATTATAGCGAAGGGCGAGTGCAATGAAAAATTGCGACGCAAACTGCCAAATAATGTTCTCTGTGCCACGGCCTATGACAATAGAACCACTTGCATGGGTGATTCAGGCGGACCATTGATCTTTGACAACCAACTCTGTGGCATCGCCACATGGACCTCAAAATGTGGTGAAGGCGTAAGACCAGATATTTTTATGAAAATTTGGTTCTACAGAAATTTTTTAAATAATATTATTAAGCAAAAGGTTTGAGAAAAACTCAAGTATAACATCTAAAATGTTTTAAAACGAATTTCTATATCTATTATGTTAACAATACTATTCCCATTGATGAATCTTTAACTACCACCCAATATTATATATAAAATAAAAAAATATTCTGCATGAGAACCTTGTTTAGATGTTATGCTTTCGAATATTTAAAATTTAATAGTTCATCTTTAACTAGCAATATATCAAAAACATTATGCCTTTGAAATGTGTTCGTTTAATTCAATCTCTAATAATGTACTCCATGCAACTATGGCTTCAAAGAGAATACTTCATCAACATAAAATTTCTGATAATAAGATTAGCCTCAAAAATTATCCTATTAAAAAACTGTATGTATGTATAGCATACTATATCTACTACTACACTACTACTACTACAACTTTGCAATCAATATATTATTATAATTTTAATTGAAAATTAATATAGTTTTTGAAGATAATCATATGAATTCGAAATGTTAAGAATTTGTTCTCACTTTAAAAGTATCATAAACTACTGTTTAATAGAATTGTGAAAGAAAATTTAAAATAATTTGAACAATTCTTATACCAATTTAATGATTTTGCTCCGCTTTGAGCAAATGCGGCACCCATCTTGCTCAGAGCTTCCTCGTCTCCAAATTGTCTGTCAATATGCGATTTACTGCACTTTTGGAATGCGTTTCTTTCTGGCGGTGATCATCCAATACCATTTCGAAAATTTTCTTGGCAATTTCTGCTGTTTTCAGAAAGAGTCAGAAAGAGCTCGTCTAAGCACAGCGACGCAATAATTTATTGGAGTTACTGGCAATAATTTTTGGAAGGGGAATACTCCACCAGAGTAGAACCATGCCTTGCTTTGATGTTTCCTATGTCTTCAAATTCTCGTTCACTAATAGCAACTGTCAAAAAAAAAAAAAAAAAAAAAGAACCTCTAAATTGTACACCTAATTTTTACAAGGTGGGAACCATATTTTTCATCAGATCGGATAGAGTTGAATAACACAAAAGTTAATGCTGTAAAATTATGTTTAGTTTTACGAATTGTATAATTTAGGTTTAATATTTTATCGGTTAAGCTAAATATAATTCTATACATACATACGTAGTTCTAAAATAGGTAAATTTTTTAATAATACACACGGACATTTGGTTTTAAACAATAAATTCGAAAAATAGAACAAAATAATAGGGATTTAATTTGAAATAAATAGATTTGTCTACAAATAGAAAGTGAAAATACTTTTTTATCTCAAGCAAAATGGCACGTTAAATCAAACGTGTTATAAGATTTAGCCCACCCTTTTCTAATTTACGCTCAAATTTACGACTCATTTCCACTCAATCATCCATAATGCAGCTGGCATATCTACACAGCCACACATACATATGTATGCATGTATAGGCAAACAAGTCATCCAAACATTGTAGAATGTTCTGTGAAAAAATTCTCCACAACGCATAGCAGCACTCTATCACACAAACGCACACGCGAGAGCAACAGTCGCTCTAATCACTGGCGTGTTGTGTGAAAATCGCTCTCTGGCAGCGCGCCGCTCTGCGCTGTCAAGTGTGAAGAACGTGAGAGCATTGCCGGCTGAACGATAAGCTAGCGGCTAGTCAAAAAAAAAGAAGAAAAACAAGCAATAAAAGAGAAAACATGTGAGAAAAGAAAATAGACATCGTATTGACTACATCACCTGCTCCCCTTGCACCCGCAATTCTTCATGAAGGTGCGCCCAACATACTCTCAGCCGTGTCTGCACATTTTTCTCTCATTCGTTGCACACTTCGTTCCCCCTTTTCACAGACGAATAACAAGTTTCTCGCATTTTATCATTGCGGCTACAAATTTCCAACTACTATATTGTTTGTCGCTCGCATTGCGCTCTCAATTTGCACTCTCGCAGAGGGCATTACTATTATGGTTTTTCGTTTGCAACACGGAAAAAAAGAAGCGACAAAGTACTGTCTGCTATAAATATAGTATACATATATTGATTTTATTAACTTAAGCATATTAAGTATATTTTTTGTTTGTTTTTCTTTAAACAAATTTGGAATAATATAAAATATTTTTATGATAACATCAAAACCAAGAAATATCCAATCTTAAATTTTTATATTTATTTATTTAATAATATATTTTCACCAACGCGGCAACTCTAAAACTATCGAAGAGGTAGTCGTTGATTGCCGGACGAGCGCACAGGCGGGCATCACTATTTGGATTAAAGACGAATCCCTTACACTTGTAAGTATAGAGTATTAAAATTTACTTATAAGATAATAATAGATAATAGCTACAAAGTAGCTATACAAATAAAAAGTAGGTCTTTACAATACAAGAAAATATTGCTTTGCGTCTTTTTCTAAAAAGTTCCCGTACACAAAATGTGGAGTAGAGGAAGTTTTAAAAATTAACTGCCTGCCACATGCTGGTGATGGCACACCGAACGGCCTTCTGTTCTGACTGCATGTCTATCATAAGAGAGTTAAATTTTTCCCTGCAATTTTATGAGGCTGTGTTAATTCGTTAATTCGAGCATCTTGCCACGTTTGAATATGCACATACATATATGTATGTATGTGTGTTTGTTTGATCAAATTATTTATCTAAACTAGAGTTTATTTCGTCCACTGTCACATCCTAGGCACGTGGGATTTGATTAAATTATAAGAGTCTCTTTTATTTGCAACCCCCACGTGCTTCAAAAACACAAACTCAGCCTCCGCAAACAATAGATCATGTATGTATGTATGTATGTTTATGTACCTATTCTGATGATAAATATTCACCCTTAAAATATGTATGTATGCATGGATATTTCTTAGGGCATGTGATCTTCGTAGCAGTGAGAGAGACGCATTTACACTCTGATTTACGCTCTCGCCCGTGTGAAAAGCAAATGCCAAAGCGCAACTAATGCTGACGCTGCTGCCTCCTGCCCATCCCCCCTCTGGCAGCATTTATACCCGCGCTGACTGCGACGTTTTGTGGCCGCCGGCATCGGTTGGGCAAGTGAGGCATTCAGTATACGTTTAGTTTTCAACGAGAACGCGCGCCACGATCGCTCCTGAATCAGCTGTAGAAAATTGTGCCAAGTTTCTTGTCACTATACCCGGTCGGTCATCCGCGCGAGACGTGCGGTTTACAATTTAAGTGTGTGCTTGTGTGTGTGTGATTTTGTGCCTACACTATCAATTTAAGTAGTGCGTGCTTGTCATCAATCTAGCTAAGCTCAAAGCTTGACCTTCGTCAACAACTACATATACGTACATACATACATAACCACTAGTACGACAAAGTACACCCCTAATTTCTTGGTTTGTAAAAAGTAAGAAAACAAAAGGCTCAACAATATGCGCGAAATTGTGCACCTGCAGGCGGGCCAATGCGGCAATCAAATCGGTTCAAAGGTGCGTATAATTAATATTCAATTAGCAGCTTCGCTCTCCCCCCATCAAGTTGGACATGCTTGGCAGCAACACTGCGTTACGTTTTTAACCTCAAATGTTTAATTATAAAACACCATGAAAAATAAAACATTCTTTGCGCGCGCTCTCATTTTGTACTCTTTTCGTATCTTCCTCTCACATACACATTCTTTCTCACGCTCTCTCTTTCTCTCGCTCTTCCTCTCTCTCGCTGCTAGTTTTCGCGGCTGTTGCATTTCTTGCTTTCGCCGGCCTTTCAAAAGGAAAATAAATTGTGTTAACATCTGAAAATAAACAGCAACAGTAACAACAACATTAACAATAATATTAACAATAACAAACCAACAGGCAGCTGGCTCTAGGGTTTTGTTGGAACTATAAAACTGCAAAACATGCACTAAATTTGGAGTGACGTAAACATGTTGCTTTTTTAACGAATTGCCAACGCAAGTGCTCGTATTTTAAATTAAAAGCTTGTGCGTTTATCTTATCTCGCATATCATATCAGGCGGCACACATTTCACATTTTACTCGTAGTCTTGTGCTGTCATTTAACGAAGCACAGTGTAAACTATTTATGTATTATGAAATCGAGCATAAAATACTTACGCATGTGTATATATACATACATAAATATAACAATAAACCAAAACCTTATTGAATTGATCGATATTTTAATTAATTACTGATATTTCCATAAGAATATGTATAAGTATTCCTGCAACGTAATTTATTTACTAAGAAAAGCCCATTTAAAAGTGGGCAAGAAAAATAGAATAACACTGGAGTATGTACATACATACATACTATATACACATATGTCAACTAATAATATGCCCGAAAGTTATCGCAAAGGAAAACGGAACTCCCAATACTAGTTTGGCCATAGTTCGTGTTTCGTCTTCGCCAGAACTGTATGAGCCAGCTCTCAACAGATGCTCGACAAAATAAAATACAAATTAAAATCACTTGAAGGAATACCCCTATTGCATGTAAAGTAAACTGTACCTGTAACATCGTAGATTCGTGGATTTGATCGATATTTACTTTAAATCGATAATATTTGATCAGTGGCATTTATATGTTCTATCTGATAGAGCAAATTACTTCTTCATTTTTTTCGTGTAAAACCTTGTAGAATATTTGTGATGATAAAAAACATAAAAGAAAACTTTGCAGTTCTTTCAGTATTCGTTTCTTACGAAAATAGACACGAAACGTCTTGACACACATCTCTGAGCCATTGTAAACTTGTCAGCTTTTCATTCACCAAATTTTAGTGTCAGCTGCGATCGGCAGTCATTCCAAAAAAAAAAAACACTCCATATTAATGTTAGAGGTCATGTAACAAAAAAAAAAAAACCAGGTGGCAAAAGCTACTGAGAGCACAAAATCCAAAACCACTTGCTTCACTCGAAATCCGCATATGGACTTCCAGCAATGATATTAGTAGTACAGTGAGATAATAAGGTGGCGCAACGAATTGTAAAGCTTTTCGCCTGTACTACGCATATGTATAGTATAAGTCGAGATCTGTATGCACCATCGAGGGCTGAATTTTATATTTTAAAAAATTGTATGAAATTTGATTGGGATTAAATTGTAGATAGGCTTTGTTCCCTGCTTACAATGATGGTTAATTATCAATTGCAAAAATGTGCGCTCAACTATTGACGTTTGATTTTTGTAGCATACGCCTCTGAATAATGGAGCTCCTGATTATTTCTTCATCTTGGTATGCAATCGGAAGCATCACGATAACGCGATAAGTGTAAATTATTGACCTATACGTTTTGCATTTGTGTATGTAACTAAAACAAAATACACCTGATCGATCTTAAAGAGCGCTCAAAGGGGAGGAATTAAAACAAACACAGAGCCAAATCTATTTAAACAGATTTTGTTTTCCACAAACACACTTAGTAATGCGCAGTTGTGGTACAAACACAGGTACATGTACTAAATATGTAATAAATAAATTTAGACTTTAACTGTGAATACTATACGTGGAGTAAATGTTTTTGGATTGCACAGGCTCAATCTTTTTTGTCAATAACTACAGTTTTTAATATTAATATAACAATGAATATATTTAATTTGACTTTTTTAACAAAACGTTCTTGAAAAATGGAACCGCAAAAGTACAAATTGTTTTTTAAGTCAATAGAATGCCACGCCTCCTGCTGTGTGTTACATACATTTGCACAAAACCACTATACTCTTTTACCCTTTGGGTACAAGGTTTAATAATAATAATAATTCAAAGCAATTAAGTCCAGATTCTAGTTAGCCACTTCCCCGTGCGTGCAGTTTCCGTTTTTGCTATTTCTGTTTACTGTATGTACTACATATACATACATATTTACAAGTACATATATTAAGCAATCAACATTAGCTTTCTCTTAACAACAGAATATCACTCTTTCGAGTTTTCTTCTTTCTTTCTTGCACATTTACAAGTATGAAGTCTGATGTTCTCTTTTTAGATTTAACATACTAATGTTTATTTCCACAGTACGAGTTCATTAAACTATTTTATTTTAATATGTAATTCGTTACTTTATGTATTAAAATAAATAGCTCACTGTCGTAGTCGCATTTCCATTAGCAACTCTTCTTTTTCTAATAAATATATAAGTAATATCAAATTTTTTAATTATGTACATACGGCAGTGAATATCGGCCTTACAGTGAATAAATATTCTTTATACAGACATTAAACGTATTGTTCATGTTTCCCCCTGTAACTGCTCTCAAACGGCAACGACTTACATTGCTTATGCCCTTCCTCACTTGACTAAATTTACAGCAATGCATCAGCTTACTTTCAACACTATACGTATTACCTTCCTGCGTATGAGCTCAGACAAACCTTTGTATGCTAACCACACAAGTTCATGGAAAAAAGTTGTCAAACCGAGTTACAAAGTAAAGTTATTTAAAAAAGCAACTTTAAAATGGGAACAAATTACAAATGTACATGAGAGATAATTAAAGTACAATGCCGCCGCTCATTCTTTCTAAGTATTTGTATCTGTGTCTACCGATATTGTATCTGTTTCTTTGATACACTAACATATCATTCTACCGCGTTTCTTTGAGCTCTTGATAATGTCTTGACACTGCCGACAGCATGGCAATAAAACCGATGACTCTTTTTGTTGACTTACAATCATTTTTCTGTGTAGAGTGTAAATAATGATGAGGTAATGCTGTCAAGCCTATCGCTATTATTTCAGGCCCATTTATTCAGCTCCGATTAGCACAATCGTTTACATAACATTGAGCATAAGTGCAAGTTAATAAATCGTTCATATACATATGCATATCATATCAGCAAAAGGCAAAACTAAAAATAAATATTACCTACATACATTTATATTTGTTTGGGCAATTTGTTATAAAGCTGCCTATGCCAACCTGATTTATGTATTGATAACTCCTAAGTATAATGAATGAAGCTCATAAATAAACGAGGTGTGCACTCAAAGTTTCTAGAGCGGCGAAAAGTACAATTTATAATTAAAATATTTTAATTGATGCATAATCATGTTTAACAAATGTTATTCTTAAATCAGAACAAATTTAGAACATTTCGTGGAAAAATATAGTTGTTCTCAGAATTTTGTAGCATTGGGTTACACATGCAAATAATTTGCAAACAAATTTGTAATATTTTACAATTAGTCTCAAAGTACTATGTTGTGGCAAATAATTTCTCGTAAGTAGTGAAGTCCTTTTAGTACTAATTCAAAAAAGAATTTTTTTGTAACACTCAACTGATTTGGTTGCCAATTATTTGCCTGTAGCTTTATGGTCCTATCGCCAGTTCCTGTAGACAATATGTAGAAGTCATCAAAACCGACAATGTGGTTGAAAAGATATAACTATTTAAACTTTTGAGAATCGTTGAACCTATTCAGTTGAGCAAGAGTGCAAGAGTTTAGATTGAACTGGTCGCAGACCTCTTTCCATCCGACCGGGGCACATTATTATAAAATTAAATTAAAAAACTGATATTCTTAAAATCCATTTTTAGTTTAGATTAGAACCATAAAGGTTTTCTAATATTCTCTATTTCCTCCGTGGTTTAACAATGCAATTTTAATAGTGGTGGCAAGTGCTCTCATCTTTTTGCCATTTACTTATTCTCCTTCCTATCAAATAAATTGTTAGGAAAAAAGACTTAAGAAGTAACTTTACTTTATCAACAGATCCCACAAATTCCCTGACCTTTTATACTAACTCACAGGAGCTCGTATAATTCAGATTGAAAAGTTTTATATTGTGTGCGGTATTATTTGAATCCGACGCATGTTTGCAGTCAATTTAGAGCCGAGATATGAAAACATTGTTAATGAGCAAGAGAAACAGAAAAGCGACATAACGCCCATTCTAAGCTAATTTACCGCATTAGCATTAACTCGCACAATTTGCTGCAGCATGAAAGTACAACCACAACAACCACAACAACAACCACAACAGCAACACCAACAATAGGGGCCAAAACACATGAAAAAACAAGCGAAGCTGATGGCATCTGTGTCGTTGACGTTTGACACAAATTTCGTTTCATTTTCCGTTTGGCTCGTGTTTTATTTTGTTTTCTTTTCCACATTTCCCAGCGCTGTTTTCACCACACATTAGCTCAGCTCCATGATGATGCCTGCATTTTCTCTTCTTTTACACGCTTTTCTACTTAATTTTTATGCAAACCCAAGCCAGTTTTTTCTTTTATTAATCATGTTGTTGTGGGTGCGCATTTTGCCTTAATTAGTCGTCGCCAAAATTGATATAGCGCGGCCCATCATGCTTTATGGGTCGTTTGAATATTCTGCCCCACATAGCATAAATTTGGCTCCTTTTGTGAACAACTATTGTGTCTGGTCCTTTGTGAAAATATGTTCAGGAACAAACTACTCATATAATATATGCGCTTTGCTATTCATACAATTTGACAAAGTTGCGGCTTAAACAAAACA